TCAAATCCCGGACGGACCAAGTAATAATTTGTTTTTTGTTTTTTTTTTTAATTGTCATATCCATATTCCATTTTAATTATACTATTAGATTTGTTTAAAATAATATATGTAAATGGATATGTAGGTACAAACGCATGTATAATTTCACATAATCGCTCAAATTTTCCAAAAGTTACTGAAAGCTTTATTGTAAATATTTTCACTAAAATATTAGTTATTGGAATTAAAATTTTATGCGAATCCAATTTTTATTCCCATTTTTAAAAAGCGCAAGTATGTATATGTTCGTGCCACAAAAATTATTTCATAAGTAGTTAATTTTAAACACAAATATGTATGTACACTGGCAAAGTGAGTGCATCCTGTTTTTTTGTTTAATATTTGCAATGTTTTTAAGTTAAACTTTTATGTTATTTTCGACGGGAATTGCGGTTTTATGCATATAGCAAGTGCAATTCGTAAAAAATAGCGCTAATTTTTTTTATTTGTTTGCAAACGGTCACGCGCAATTTATTCTTCAAGAAATTCACTTTTATTTGGTAAAAAGTGCAAAAAGGCGTCAGCAATAAATAATCATTAAAAATCAACCGGATTTTTTAGCCGCTTAAAACTTGATCTTGTTCCACTAGAATTAAAAAACCGATCTATCTGCGTACTCAAAATTTTTCTAAAAACTCGGATTAAACAGGTCAAAATTTAGACGAGAATTCGTTGAATTTTTCTATGTTCTGTGTAAAGTTTGAAAGTTTGACTTGTATAGTTTTGATTAAAAAGATAATAAAAAAAATTAATTGAAAAACATTGCAAATATTAAGCAAAAAACACCATGCACTCACTTTTGATTGCCAGTATATGTATGCATGTACATATGTGTGAAAACTTTATGCCAAACTATCATTATTTTAAATTGTATTTTTAAAAATTACAAATTAATGAAAATTATGTGAAGATTTACCATATTTTCGTTTATTTGCTCGCAAAGAACATCACATTTCATATTGCTCAACATTGTATTATGTTATCAACATTAAATTCAACAGAATTTTGTTAATTTTTCGTCCGCGAATAGTTTCCACTTTCAGTTTGCACCTTCTCTATCTATCTAAGTTCTCTGCCATTATGTCATAACTTAGAAAGACAATTGAAATTCAGTAAAGAATAGCCATGGATCATTGGTGCACAAATTATCCATGGCCATTCTCAAAAAATGGGAGGTGTAACATGCATTTGAAATCCGTTTCACTTTCACTATATCCAATTGTCCAATATATACATACATATATACAAATATGCAGACCACACACGCAGCAAATTATTAATAACCCATATTCATTTGAACTCAGCTTGAGTTCATGCATTGCTGCACTCATGTTACATATTGGTTTATATTAGTCAATCAGTCACGCTCACTCACACTGTGTCTATTTGTCGCGTCGACCGACAAATAGATTGCAACACACAAAAGTACATATCGTTGGCTTAGTTCGCAAACGTGCTAAGTCCACTTTTTATGTAAATTGTGATTTTGATGCAGTAAGATAGCATAACTGAAAATACATCATTACCAAAAAAGAAAATTACCGTAATGTCGTTTTTACTTGTTGTTATGCATTGGTACGCAAATGTGCTAAGTCCAAAAAAATCAAAAAAATATATATACACGTCTGTCCGTGTACACGATAACTAGAGATATCTCAACGAAATTTGGTATGTAGGTTGTAAATATTGGATGCAAATTGTTCAAAATTAGTATGTGAAGTAGATTTTTTTGTAAAAAATATTATTGTGCAATTTTTGGAAAATGGGCGTGACCCCGCCCACCTATTATGAAATGCTGCATCTCAGTAGCCCATTCACCAATCTCGGTACGAGCCTTATTTAGGGTCTAGCTAAGAAATCTGTTGAAAATCTAATTCACTTAAAATCGATGATCGCGATAACCACTCAGCAGAAAATTAGATTATGATACATTTTTGGATAATGGGCATGGCGCCGCCCACCTATGATCACAAATTTGTAACTCGGTAACCGATTTATCAATTTCTACCAAACTCTGTGCACTTAATAAACCTGGTACGGAAAAGCAATTCGTTGAAAATTATTCAAATCGGACCAAAATTACATTCGCTTCCCGTATATCTAACGATAAATTTCAGATCTCTTAATCTCTTAACAATAATTAAGACTGCATGACACCGCCCAATTTATGACTACAAGGTGTATTTCGGTAGACACTTTAGCGATTTCTACTAAACGTGGTTCAATTATTTCATTGAGTTTAACTCAGGATTTTATCTAAAACGTTTGAAATCGGGAAAAAGACCCTGCTTACGACAGTATTTGATACCTGCGCCGGGTTTCGCCCAAACTTTACCTCTTTACTTGCTTTTAATTATTTTCTTTTATAAATGGTACATAAATTTACGACTTAAAATATTTATTTTTGTTAATAGCAATGAAATAAAACTGTATTACGTTATAATTCATTTTAAAACAATAAAATATATTTAAAGTAAACAATTAAATCTTTTAACAATAAAAAATAATGGAAAAAAGGTTGATAGAAAATGTGCTAAGTCCACATTAAAAGAATAAAATCTTAAAGAGAAAATGTAGTAAGTCCTAAAAAGGCCTATAAGTCTGCAACAGCTTTATTTTGAAATTGGCCGATTATTGGTACTAAAACAAGACGAACTAAGGAATAAAACTGCATTTACAGATTAGAAAAATATTGACAACAAAAAAAGTTAGACGGTTTTTTGTCCCTCATGAAAAATTAAAAACATGGACTTAGCACGTTTGCGAACTAAACCAACGATATGTAGGTCACTGAAATATGCTGACTTGCATATATGAAATTATGTACATTTAATTTGTAAGTATTAGTGTAATTAGGTATCAATAACATTTGTATAAAAGAAAATACTTTCCAAATAAAGAATTCAATTCTGTCTGTCCTCAGAAACGAACAAAACGAATTATTAATTATTAATTACTTTACATGAAACTACCTTCTATTTTTTATCATGCATATGTACTATAAGAGTTTTGTATTAATAAACGCTTTTTAAATAAACCAATTCATTTTTAAAAGTAAAAATTTTGGTTTTCTACTTATTTGTTTTTTCCTGTACGGAGGAGTTTATAACGACAAAAATGAGTAGTTTGATTATTAGTGCTGAGGAGTTTATAACGACAAAAATGAGTAATTTGATTATTAGTGCTGAGGAGTTTATAACAACAACAATAAGTAGTTTGTTTATTAGCACTGAGGACTTGCTAATGACAGCAATGAGTACTTTATTCATTTGCACTGATTAGTTTATAAAAACGACAATAAGCAGTTTCGTAGTTTCTAGAGCAGAGCAGATACATTTTTCATTAATCAAAGTTTTCAATTAGTAAGAAGACGTAAAAAATTACACCGACAAGGGGAAAGTGCTTAATGAGCACTTATTTGATGCTCAGCTGTCTTATTGGAAAAAATAATACATATGTACATGTATGTACTTATTTAAGAGACATTCTTCTTAATATCGGACACCAAATTTGGTGGCACACTTTCGATTGGCTTAATTTTTTTTTATGGATTCTATACATGAAATAAGCTAACACGTGTTCGAGGAATTTTTTTTCGCTTTTTTCTTTGGAGATATGATCTGTCAAAGTTTGCATTTTTTCGTGATTCTCACTAATCATGTACTCCTTCAAAACGTTATATCTCGGGTTCTGCCATCTTAGAGACTTTATCTAAAGGTCGTTTTAAAGCTAAAGAATTTCTATATATAAGATGGTTAAGATTGTCCTAAAGCTAGCTTAGCTATTAACAGTTGAACATTTTGAAGTTGATTTGCATAGTGCAGACCGGTAAATTGGGGATTTATAATTATACCATCGTAATCTCTGTTTAATTCCCTATAAAAAAACGTGGTTAAAGAAAATAGGGGGTTTTTCAAGAACAATTTTAAAAATATTTTTTCTTTATGACGAGATGGTTAATTTTGTGAGAACCAACAATTTTTCGTAATTTGTTTCCCAAAACTTATGTTGAGATATATTTAGTAAGGTTATAAAGGAGTTTTTGCAAGAATTTAAATTTTATTGCAGATTCCGATAGAGCGCCTATCCAGGTATAATATTTGTACGGCAAGATTTTTCTTTAAGGCGACAAACCCCTAAAAATGGGCGTGTCAATTGTAGGACTAAAGTTTGCAAAACGCAGATTTTACTGCGGATTTTGGCGGAATATCCCTTCGTTAACAACATCTGTTCCACAACTTTTTCAATCAATGAATATTCCAGAAATGGGCATGGCTATATTAAAACCAAAGTTCAAAAATCTAGACTTTATTGTGGATTTCTCCAGAATATCTATATGGATTGAAAAAGTTCTGGAACAAATATTGTTAACGAAGCGCAATAAATCTGCGTTTTGCTAACTTTATTCCTGCAATTGCCACGCTCATTTCTGGGGGTTTGTCGCCTTAAAGACTACTCTTGCCGTACAAATATTATATCTGGATAGGTATTCTATTGGAATCCGCAACAAAATTGTACTTTTTGCAAAAACTCGATGTTTAACAACTTACCAAATACATCTTAACATAAGTTTTTGAAAAAAAATTACAAATAGTGGTTGATTCTCACAAAATAAACCATCTCGTCATGAAGAAAAATATTTTAAAACTAGTTCTTGAAAAACCCCCATTTTTTAACCACGTTTTTTATAGAGAATTAAACAAGGACTACGATGGTATAACTTTAAATCCCTAATTTACTGGTTTCTACGATCGGCAGAACCCGAGATATAACGGTTTGAAGATCATATCTCTGAAGAAAAAAAGAAGAAAAAAATTCCTCGAACACGTGTTAGCTTATTTCATTTATAGAACCCACAAAACAAATTTGAAGCGAATCGGAGACATGACATATATTTTTTACGAAATCCGTCCGACTTGAAAAAGAATGGCTCATAAGTATATATCTTTTATTTATTTTAGAAACAAATAAAACAAGCCAACGAATTCCTAGCTCATGAAATGGGTCAAATGGTAAATAGGACATCAAAGGAAAGAATACCAATAAAACTATCGAAAGACGAAATACAAACCTATGTCAAACGATTTCAACTTATTGATAAGGATAAAAAGGGCTATGTATCAATCAACGATATTCGCCGGGCTCTCAAGGTAAGCTTTGAGAAAATTATTAAATATTTCACCATTTTTATTTCCACTCAAGAGGTATTAAATATAGTGTATGCATGCGTAAATAAAACTGCATATATCTTCTTACCGTACAGAGTTTCGGAGATGCCGATGTTTCTGGAGAACAACTTCACGAGATACTTAAAGAAATCGATACTAATATGAATGGACAAGTCGAACTTGATGAATATTTACAGGTATGTATATTATACTAATATGTAAGAAAATGCAACACCTACCCAGTCCCAGTAAACAATTTATGGATGAATACCAAACTCGAGCAATAAAGGAGTAAGGATTGTTCGTTTATTTGCAGCGATACGCGAACAATGAAGGATTTGTTTAATAATAATAATAATAGATTGGTGCTTACTAGGCCGGGTCAATTTGTGGGGAGGCAAAAAAATCGCTCATTGCTCTGTGAAAATCATATTCTAGGGATCAAAATAAGAAACTTTGCCGAAGGAACCATACCTCTAAAACGAATTCTGATGTCCCCCAATTTGGGTCGAACTTTTGGGTAGGGGCAAATTTTGAAAAATCCCACTTTGACCCATTTAGAGTGCTCCAATCGAGTCCAAATGTATGACCGACCCCCACTAACTTTGGA